TGTATCTATGAGGTTAACAGAATTCTTATAATTTTTTTCTTGCACATTTTAAAAGGTGTGTGATTTGTCCATTTTCTTTGGTAGACAAAGGAATGAGTTCTTCTTTCTGAATGCAAGACAGTAATGAACAGCATTCTTCACCTGTAATGTCAGTGGTAAAAACTTCCGCTTGGGTTGAAGTCCCTTTTTCCCTTTTTCTGTAACTGCCTCTTTGATTCACTTCACCGCAGGTCAGATATTAAAGACTAAATTTGCTCATGAAATTCCTGACAAAAGTTTTATCTACTGATGTGCTTCTACGAAAAGTTTGGAGAGGACACCTCGGGCCACTGATACTGACAAAGGATAACAGATATTGCATGAATGTGTGTTAGTCCAGCGGGTCAAGGTGCTGTATGATACCTGGACTCTAGCTCACAGTGTCTGTCACTCAGTAACCACGTGCCAGGCCCTGCATCTGTATGAGCGCTCTTGGTTTTCACCAAAGCCTCACAACAGAAGCTCTATCATTGGTCCCATATCTACAAATAGGCTGAAGCAATCGGCTGAGTCTTGGAGGTGACATAACTTGCCTTAGGACCAGGACGTGGTAGAGCCATGGCTTACCTGTAGCTCTGCCTGACCTTAAAATTTGACCTGGCCTCTCTCTAGCAATGTTGATCTGGTCCTGATGCTTAGCCATAGGAGCACTTGACCTACAGCATCGTATTGGGTATTCACATCAATTTATTTGCAGATACGATTATCGCAACCATCATTTTACAGATGATGAAACTGAAGGTTAGAAAGGTTAAGTCATCCTTTTTTTTTTTCTTTTTTTAAGGCCAAGTGAAAAGCACACTTTTTGGGGCATGAAATAACTGAACTGGTCCTCCACACTTGGGCGTGTGGGCTGGGTGGGCTGGCTGGGGAAAGTCATGGCGGTCATAAACGTGGGTGTCTCGCTCTCATCTGCAAGAGTCAAAGAAAACTACTTGAGCTGCCAAGGTAAAACCCATCAGAGCAATACAGCAAAAGGCCCTTCCATCCTTTGATCAGTGAATTCTATACCTAAATAATGACTGCTTTCATAAAATGGCTCTGTTTGCCACTGACAGAGAGAAAACGGAACCAGTACATCCTGTAGTAGCCTTTAAATAACCAAGGAGAACGATCAAAATAAAAATAAATCCTGAGCAGATTTATAGGTACACCTTGATGAGGTTTTGTTGTTTTTCCCTTCAAATAAGCAATACCTACAAAAATGAAAGGGGAATGTTGAGACCAGATACGTTGTAATAGATGGGTTTTCTTTGACATACAGTATGGTAGAATGCCAAAAAATAATGTCGGCCATCATCTGCGAAGCTCACCAGCCCAGAAAAGAAAAGGGGAGGGGGACTTTTCACGATGCAGAATGGTACAACCCCTTGGATGTGAACACACTTTTTAAGTGTGCTTCTGGAAGTTTTATTATACTGTGGTCTTGTGTTTTTCTCTCCACACAACTGTTTCATCGCTTCGACTGGTCGGAAGTTTTGGATTCAAAAACCCTTAACATTAAAATCAAACGGTGTTCATTCAAATATAATAATTCTGGTGCTGGCTAATGATAAAGCGTATCTGATAAGAACGGAATCATGCACAATGTGAGTTAAGTAATTGTTCACCCACTAAGCCTTCCTTTCCCTTTCACACCCCACATCGTTAGTAGAAATGGCAGTTAATAAAACTAAGGGTGATGATTTTTTTTAAAAGACTAACCGTTTCATTTTTCTATCAACCACTCTTTTAATAAAAAATTCTTCATTTCCCTCAGGGTAGCACTTTATCTAAGATGCATTTGGCTAGTTGAATAAAAATACCTGTTAAAGGAACGAAGGGTCCCATCAAAGCTGTTGAAATCTGATTTCATTTCAGATTCTAGAACTAATGTTGTTTTTTGTTTAAATAGATTTTGTCTGTCAATTTCCAGACCTGCTGTGCCATCAGCCTGTATGGACTGCTGTGGTCAACACGGGGGTTATAGCAGCAAATTTTATTATGGACTGGTAATTGAATTGAACAGGTTTACATTTGAATAGATTTACTACATCATGATCTCTGACATACTGCATGGGACTAAAATCCCTCTCCATCCATAAAGATACATTTAAGATGATATCATTCTCTCCAGGCTGAGAAGGCAAACCTTGAGCCAAGGAGATGGCCAAACATAATTGTGCATTTATATTCAGGGTGTAATGCTATATTTCACTGCGTTTTTTAAGTACAAAACAAAAAGACTATTCCATATTTTCTCATAACCATTCCATCCTTTCTCTTTGTGAGAAGGGGCTTAGAGAACTGATATTTTCCCATCCAAGTGGGCATAAGGGGTAAAGGAAAATAAATTATTATATGAGTATATCAGCCACAGCCGCAATTCCCTTGAAAACAGGCCCTCTAAAGGCTTGATAACAGCAACTGAAGAGGTGTGAATTATAGATAAGCCCCATCCCATTTACTGTCACCAACAATGTTTAATTAAACACAGTTCACACTTCTTCAGTCACTCTGACCACCCTCCAACACTGCTCTTGCTTGAAAACCACAATGGGGAAAATTATTTAGGGGAAAACGTTTTTTTTTCCCTATGTCCATAAACCTAGAGGGGCAAACAGTTGAGCAAAATCAAATTGATCAAAAAATTGTATTTATTTGGAAATGAAGGCATAGCCCAACATATTTCAATTTTTGAAAATAAAATCCAAATCTAGGACACATCAATTCAAAGTGTTATTACTCTATAACATTTCTTAAAAACTTGGTTTGCTTTTTGAAAATAACAATTCCTTAATTTCCAACTCTTAAGTCTTTTCAAATGAGCATAAATATAGCTTGAGTCTCAATAGCTCAACTCGGTGGCAATAAAAAGACCAGGAATTAACTGTCATTTATCATTATATACTGAAATACATTGTGATCATTACTCTGCTATAGAGTTTAAGGGAATTGCTAAGATAATATTTTTCACCTCAACAAAGTGAGCTATCACCACCATCCAAGCTAAAACTCTGTCATGTGGGTGGGGTTGTTATTGTTGGGGTTTTATTTGTATGTTTTCCTTTGCAAAACTGCCCTCTTGGCATTTTCATATAAGCTCTCTCTACAAGAGCACCTATAGCTGTCCTTTTCAGAGTTGCATCCCTGAGTCTAGAATAGTGCCTGGCACATGGGAGAAGCTTAATAAATTTTTAGCAAATGGAGATAACTGTAAACCATGTTAACTGTGAGAAAAATCCTAACTGGACCAAAGGCTACACAGTGGGGGGGGGGGAGTATGCATTCAGATCCTCATCTGTATTCATCAGCATACCACTGTCACCAATCTTTATCTGTATATCATTGCAGTGTCTATCACCTTCTACTGTTCTTCCCCCTTTCTCTCCACATATATACACATTTTTAATGTAAATGTTATTAAAATATAAATTTTTATAAAAATGTTATGTTACTTGGTAATACATCTTGGCTATCTTTTCTGAAGGCTTTAATTATAAAGTTATACACGTGTTGTTGTTGTTTTTATAGCTTTTTTCAAGTTGAAGATGGGAAACATTTGAGTGTCTTTGTTCCAAGGGAAGGGAAGAGTTAGTTCTCAGCGGACAAGTGACAGACATCCAGCATGAAGTCCACGGGCCCAAATGTCACCAGGTCCACTTCTCTCCCTATAACACTGTTCACAGTAAGGATCTTGGAATAAGAATGAACCAGGAAATGTTAGGAGGCTGGTAATGCCACACCTAATTGAAGCTCCCGTTCCTTCTTGGGGAACAAACTTGGATCTACTTGAATTTAGAAGTTAAAAAACCAGAAAAACACCAAAAAAACACAGTAATCTCCAGTAACAACAAAAGATACAAACTCACAGAGCCAACCCAGGGGAACAAAGTATATTCTATGACTTAACAGAAGCTATACATTTAAATATTTAATTTACCTAATTTGCTTGCAGACTTCAACGATTGCATTTTTATGTTATCAATTTATAGCATTATCGTGTTTATTTTAAACACTGGCAAATTTTCTGAAGAGAAGGAAACAGTGAAATCTACATGCAGGACGTAAATTGCACATTTATAAAAGCATACACGTACAAAGACACGTCAAAAAGAAAAAAACGAACTAAATCTAGGACTCCCAACAAAATGAACAATTTCTCTCTGTGTCCAAGCTAAAATGTTAGTTTCACTAGACATGCTAAGATGTACAAGTATTTCAGGATCTCTGTTATGGGTGAAACAGCTGAATGAATTCCATAACCTGACTATTTGGGTTAGTTCCTGGCTAGGTGAGCTTTCTGGCAATGTGTTTACCACAGAATACAAGTTCACAGTCATTATTTTGTTTGTTGCTGACATCCCAACTGAAATCAACAATTTTAATACCATTATTCCACACTCTTTATAATAGAAAATAGGTCCAAAAGATAAGATGAGAAAAGAAGAAAGAGTGCTTTACATCTAAGATTAAGAAAAAAAAAATGGTAACTCTAAGAAATGATAGAGATGTTAATTAGCTACACTGTGGCAATTATTTTACAAACTGCATGCATATCAAAACATGAACTCACGCACATTCCATATATACTTTGTCAATCATATCTCAATAAAGATGGGGGAAAATATTTTTCTGTGAACCTAATCATGAGAAGAAATGCAAAACGACAGAAACAGCAGCCGCCTGGTTGTTCTTCATCCTCTGCCTTCTGGAAATTGAAAAGATGAAAAGAACCAGAACTGCCCAAACATACCTGGTGGGTTTAGCCGCACATCAGACATCTCCTACCTGTGTCTTCCTGCGGGTGTCAGGCAGTGAGCCAGCGGGTACCAGAAAGCTCAAGCGTACGGCAGGAGCACTCTGCCGTTAAGATTCAGGGCACTTATCTGTCCTGGTTTCTCTGACATGTGTGCAATTCCCTGGGTACCCCATCCCCCCTTCCCGGCCTAAAACCCAGGGCTACGAGCAGGGGGCCTTACCTTCCTTCAACATGCCCACTTTCAAGCACTTCATGAAGCGGCAAGCCTGACAGGACTTACGTCTGCGCTTTGTGATCTCACACTCGTTCGTGGCAGGACAGCTATATTCTATGTTACCTGAAACACACAGTGGGAGAAGGGACATGGTTAGAGGTGCAAGACCCAGGAAACAGTCGCATCCCAAAGGCAATGACAGCTCTAGGATTCCTAACCCTTCCCCCCGCCAAAAGAAAAGTCACATGGGACTCATGAGGAAGTCACAAGTGTCACTGAAGCTGGACGCTCTGCTACAACCACTGAAGAGGCATGAAATGATGAGAAGATAACTAGCCATGTTCTGCAAAAGATTCTGCTCAAAATGAGCTTTGAAACACCAGGCTTAGTCCACCCCGGCAAAGCACCTGTCTTCCAGGATCACAGAAGTCAAAAGAAATTTCAAAGCACACTATTTCCAGAAAAACAGAAACATCAAAACTAATTCTTGTATCGTCCAGCCTGGATTTTGTTTGGTTACCGATGCTGGGATGCAGCATGCTTCTCATCTTTCTGACACTGAACAGCATAATCTCCACCTTGAAAAATGATGGTTGGGCTAATGTGGGACCGTGCAGGAAGCTCCCAGAGGACAGTGACTGAAATTCCATGGTCCTTGGCTGCAACGCTAACCACCGTCTCACAAAACCATTTTGTGCTTGGTAAATGCTTCTTATTGGTAAATGGCCGTCATCACCACCATCATCATTGTCATCATCACATGTATTACACCACTTGCATAATGCATTCAAAACATTCAAGTTCCAAGGAAGTATTTTACATAAGAATAAACTGATGTGGAATCATATTTTTTATTGTACAGTTTACATCACTGATGGTAGCATCTACACATTTGAAAGATAGGGAGCCAGAAGAAGATCCAAACTGTAACTTGAATTTTATTTTTTTTTCCAATTAGTGGCAATGACAGCGTGTGGGATGTGCCCTGGGCCTGCCTACAGCTTTGTAAAGAAGCTGCCTTTCAAATAAAGCCTCTCTCCACTATCAGCTCTGTCACATAGTGCTTGAAGGTCTGCCGGTCCCTTCCTAACCCTTTCCCCTTGTGATTAAGTGCATTAGTATCTTAATGAAAATGCATTCTGTTTATTGCCCTCCTGGGAAGGGGGAGGTCATCACACCAAATGCATAAATTGTCATCAGAGACGGTCCGAGCATAATTGCAATTTTGCTGCTCCATGTTTGCAATACCCGGGGTCCATCCCAGTCCCCGGAAACATGCGCCGACTCCAGTAATTAGCATAGAGTCTGCCTGGGACCACGGCATTGATGAAATATTTCAGAGTTAATCACACTTTGTAAACACTGATTTGTATTGACTACCTTTCTCCAGACTGATGTCTCCTCAGTAAATATCACATTAGCGGATTGCACCATGGTACAGATTCAACTCCTCGGCAACTGCTAATTCAACAGGAAGTAAGACCTAACCACTGATAGCTACAGAAAATTGGTTAAGTATGCATGACTAAAAAAAAAGGCTGTCCATTATAACTGGAGATAAGCCTATCAAAATTGTTTGGCTAAATTAGCATTCTAATTCAGGACCTTTATAATAATAAAAACAACTACTTTGCAACGTAGGAGGTGAATTAATAAGAGTAATATTAATCCCATCAACAGAAGCACACACCATCACCTTCCTGAGCAATATTATTGATGCTACAGTCATAGAAAACCAGGGATAAGGCAAAGGAACCAGGCGGGCTGGGTCATGTCTGAGAATAAAAGGATTTAGAATATGAACTTTAGATAAATCCTTTTTCACTGCAGAGTTTCTTTAACCATCACTGAAAATTTATTTGGCATCAAGAGAGTTTTGCTAATCATTTCCTAGATGTTAATTAGTATTCTACTACCAGATCCTTCCATCTACATGGCTCTCTCTATACTTAGGTCTCTGCTTTCTTGGGAAGAGCTGAACAATGACTAGTGAGGATTAAAAAAAAAAAAAAAGTTTTTCAAACAGCATTTCTTCCCCTTTGTGTGTCTGAAAAGTCAGTATCACTTGTTCCCTGTCCAGTATTGAAGCATAATCACTAGTCCCGCCCTTTGAACGCAGTGCTGGAAACTTCTACTGAAATGATCCACCATTCCCCACGCACCCAAATAATCATCTTTCCTTTTTTTTTTTTTTTTTTAAGGAGGGCACAGCTCCCATGCAGGGACCGAACCGGCAACCTTGGTGTTATCAGCACCATGCTCTAACCAACTGAGCTAACTGGCCGCCCCTTTCCTTTCAAATTAGCTCCTCTTCCTCTTTGAAAACTATATCCTCATCCTTTACAAGAGCATACTTCCGACAGGAACTTAAACCACGCATGTGGAACTCATACCTCACTTATGGCAGTTGTCTCCCCACTGGGCATCTTGCCTCCATGCTGTCCCCCTCTAATCCCTCCTGCATACCACTATCATATTCTTCTTCCTATAACTGCTTTGATCATCCATCACCCTCATTTAAAAAAAAAATCAACTAATTCCTATGGAGTCGTGAATTAAATCGGGACTAGTAGACGAGCTAACCAAGTCTCCCCTGCTCCCGCAATCCAATTCTCATCTACTTCTCCAGCAATATTACAATGATTACCTTAGATGAACTTTCTGATGGAGTCAATTCGATTTATTCATTTTTGCTGTGTCCTTCAGACTTCCCTCTGAGAATGATCTATCTGTGCCCCCCCCCCTTTTCTTCTTAAAATTACTTCCAAGTCTCGATGTTCAACTCAAATTCCAGTCAAATCTTTCATGAAAATGTCTCAGCCCACCCTAGCAGAAAATGACTTCTTGGTTCTCATATCTTTTCAGGTACTCTCCTCTGCTCCAGACACGCCATATTTTGTTGTGCCGATTCACATGCATATTGCCCATTAGATGATCAGATCCTGGAGGCATGAGCCAATTCTCAGGCAGGAGAGAAATCTTCCAGGAAAAAGTAGTGCATAAGTAAAATAATACTCTGAGAATAACTTCACGTTTCCTTGATATCTCAAGGTCATTTCCGTGAACATCAATTATGGTGCTGTAATGTAGTAATGTCCACAAGGTCAAGCGAGCTGGAGGTCCCATTAGGAAGCTATATCAAGCGCACTAGGAAAACCATTCCACAAATCAGAAAAAGCAGAAGAAAATCTAGTTCATTTTTCAAAACCTTGAAAAGTAGCTTTAACAAAAATGGAAATGCACGGCAAAACAGGGAGAGATTATCAAGAGGAAACCAATAAAATACAAGGGCTTCTGGGGAACAAAATGTGAAAAGGAAAAAAAAAATTGGAAGAGGCTTTGAAGGAAATAAAAATGCACCTTGATGTGAACAGGTTAAGAATAAAAGGAAAAATGAAAATACAGCTAGATGGCACCAAAGGAGTTAATTTTTATCTAATTATAATACCTGCTATTTCCAAAATAGGTGCTATCAGAATTGTAGCCACTTTGGAGAATACACTTAGGAGTGATTCAGTAATAGTAGCTAAATCTATGAATGACTCTTCTATAAATGACTCTATAAAGATTTCTAACTTTCTTCTAAAAACAGAATTGCCAAATAGCCACATGAGACTTTTAGATTGCATACAGAGTACGATTCTAGTTTCCTGCCTAGCTGTTACCTTCCATCATTCTTCAATGACAAAGAGAAATGTAAAGGCAGGAAAATTTGTAATAGTGCCTTAGAATGAATTCTGGAAAAAAGAACTCTGTCTTATTCATCGGTGAATCCTCAGTGCTTATCAATAAGTCTGGAAATCTGTAACATGTGCTGGGTTGGGATAAGAGAGATGGTTCCTGCTCTTGAGGACTCCACCGTCTTACAGAAGAGACAAGACACATAAATAAGTTTGCAACTTAGTGTTTAGTGCAAAGGCCCTGGATTCAGAGCTAGCATGTTCACATACATGCATTTCCACAAATGCAGAGATTATGCCCAGGAACGTGAGCGAATTCTTCACATGGGCACAAACGCTTGAACTGTGCTGTGAAAAACTGAATAAATCACCACATTGGGGTAAATGCATCTTCCCCAGAAGCTGCAGGAAAAACACTATTTTCATAAGAATTTCACTGTGAATGGATGTAACATATAGAGGTGCTGAGTGTTTTCATAAGTGATATATTTTCAGCAAAGTATAGAGAAATCATTTATGATGAAATCAGGTATCCTTTGGCCAAATGTCCTGTTTCAATACATTTGTCTTGGCATATATGGATGATAACCTTGATTTCACTAAGGAACACTGGTGTGTATCTTGAAAAACTAATCAGTATCATTTTAAAGAAGTTATTAGCTGCAGGAAAACCTTCTCATTTCCAAGCCCCCCCATTGAGTCATTTAGTTCACTGTTGTGGCTACGATCACCCACCCAACAAAGTCTTTGATCCACGTTAGAGTCTAGAGAAATTCTGCCCTTGAAAAACCTTCCCTGGTGCTTTAGCTACTCAATAAAGAAAACATTTTATCCTAAAAATGTGGTGCCCCAAGCACCTGGGGTAACAATGTCACATCTATTTTGGTAATGGCTCAAAGACATTACTCCCAGCAGACCTTATGATCTCTATGGGGCACTTGTTTTCTTCGACTCATGAAAGTGGAAACTAGATGAAAATATTTCCAATAGCAACTGTAGGCACCTGGAATGTTAACACTGGACCGTCATTGAGGACGATGCAGAAGTTATTGTTCATAGCCAGGATTCTCATTTCAGACACGGAGCTTTCTTGGATCATAGCTTGCTCTTTTCTGGGACACATTTGTTAGATGGCACCAGGGACTGAACTGGGCAGCTGATGACAGGACGGGAATTTTCCCAGTTTTGTCAATAGCTGGGAAAGTGAGCTCTGCAGCAGAGGGACCCAAATCAACACGGGAAGCTCTGGGTTTTTGGTGTTTTGTTTTTTTTTTTTTAACCAGGCTGACAAGAAGGAGAAAGCAATTTATAATATCTCCTGGCGGCTTTTTTTTTTTACAAAGTCCTGGGCTCTGATTCCTTATTTCAGAGTCTTTTGTACAATTAGTTTGCAGGCAATATAATTTTCTCACTTACTGCTTAATAGAATCTTGCAGCTAGCTG